AATATTTCGATCAAAAAGACTATGAATAACTTCATATTTGAAGAGAATTTCATAACTTACTGATTGCTCAAAATTAGAAAATGAAACAATTTTCTTTTTTTTTAAAATAACATAAACAATTTTCTTTTATGCGAAGTTCAAACAAATAATAGAGAACAGGAACAAATAGTAGAGAAGAGGAAGATAAGGATCCTTAATTGAATGATCCATGATGTAGCAGTGTTTTTTTCATTATTTATATTATTTAAAAATTAAAATATTTAACCTTTGTTCATTAAATTCAAAAGCAGGTGGAAATAGAGTTAACTTTATACAACTGACATTACATTCGAAGAAAAAATGTAACATTAAGGGGGAAAATTCTGCCATTGTATAAATTATTGTCTTTGTCAGATAACAAAGGCGTGAAGAAAAGATTACATATTGCTTCTGCCACTTTATTTTCAACAGGACAAATTCTTTTCTCCGTTTGAGATAAACTCTTGATGAGAAGAATTAATTTTTCTGAGAGAAAAAAATAATGGGATTCTCATGCCTACTTTAATAAATAACTTATTCTCATATATTAATAAATAGTTTCATGAAAGTAGGGGGGTGTGTGTGAGAGATTTTCCAACACCATATATGCAGAGATCTTCAAGCATCAAGCAAGGAATCTCAAAGCCATTTTTAAAGTTTGTGTGAACTATGAGAGCCAAATTATGAATTTTCTCATATTCTTTATTCTAACAAATAATAAAGGACCTCGAAGAAGTGAAGGTAACAAGATACCCATTTTTTATTCTGAAAGAACATTTAGAATGTGAACAATTTTGAAACCCCTGCATGTAGTGATACATATATTAGATTCTTTGTGGATTGTGGGCTCTTGATGTGATTCCAAAACAGAGCACTTCATGAGTTTAAGTTTCTTTAATAATGATGTGACACTGTTAATAGATTAAGGAAAAGACACCAATATAGAGCATTATTAGAAGAGTTCAATTAATCTCTATAACTATGAAGTGAGATTTGCCATTCTATTACAAATCAAAATAACTGCAACCATCAATTTGAAGCCTCCCTAATGATGTTAGATTCCTTATATATCCACTTTGAGAACCTGGAAATATGCTCCATTAACAAAAATAGTTATATCATTATTATAATTTTATGGATTCTTGTCTTTATCAAGAAATGCTCTTCTGTGTTTTGTGGAGTTTTTGATGGAGATAACTTCCGCACAAGTTAATGAAAGTGCAATAATACTCATGAGATTAAAATATATATATATGACGGGCTGAAGGTTTTTTTTTTCCCCTGTTTGAATTAAGAACAAGAGTAATTAAACAGAACAACTCAACATGCCAAGGCTTTTAGTAGAAGAGAAAACTTGGGTACAATATTTACAAATATCTGCTGTCAAATTCTTGTATGCCCACAGATCATTGCCGAGGCAACCTCATTAGTTTGCCATTATGGTTTTAAAATGTTGTGCTCCTCATTAGAATTTCTAACAAATTACTTGAAAACTCACTACTAAAGAGGGAATATGGTTTTGGTGCACAAGACCTCTAAAAGGAATCTCTCAAACATAATTAAGGCAAACCCATGTCCACAAGACATAAAAAGTCCACTTCACAATTTCAACGATTTAATCATTCCTTTGGAAACAAAAGGAAAAATTAAACAGAATTAATTGCGGGTAAAAGTCTTTTTAAAAGAATTCAAACCACTACTTGGAAGATCCTATGATGCATCAGAAAAATCCAATTGACTTAGATATAGTGGAAATAAAATTAGGACTTTATCAACATTAATATACAAAGAATTGGCATCCAACAAGACGTTGCAATGATGTGAGACGTTTTATTGAGTCTAGAAGTAAATCCAAAGCAGGTAGCCCATCTTTGGCTTCTAAATACCACGTTTTTCTCCTTTTTATATCCAAAATACCAGGCTGGCTTTAGGACTTGGAAACGCGCATTGTCTGCTTGGTTACATTAATTTTGCATGATCAAGATTTAATTTAAATTTATTTTATATTTTAAGTTAGTTTTTATTTTAATGGACATGTAATTTAAAATAAAGATAATTTTATAATTGTCACTTTTTAAAAAAATCATTACAATAAATGTACATGAGAATTTTTGAATTTGTATTGTACTTATAAGTAGGATCAAACTCACGACCTTTCACTTAAAGAGAATATCAATGTTATTAGGTAGGTGACAACACCTTTTTTTTTTTGTAAAACAGAAAAGCTCCTTTAATTAAATCTTAGCAAGTCGACAGCATATAAAACTAATATATTGTACTACCTCCAATACTAATTATAAAGCTCTATTTATAAATTATAAATAAGGTCTTATAATTAAGACAAGAGATAATAATTTTTTAAACCATTGGCATACACAACAGGCATAAAAGTCCGTTATTTTAGATCAGTTGTTAATGCATCTGGTCTTAAAGCTTTAGTAAGTTAACGGCATATTATAAGAACATAAGCCAAATAAGAAAACCTTAGAAACCTTAGACTAGCCGTGGATATGTGATATAATGTGTGTGTGTGTGTTTTTTTTAATTATAAGAAAATTTTATTTTAACTAAACATTGGTAAGTCAACGGCGCATAAAATAGAAAAAATGACCAAAACAACCTCGAAAATAGAAAATTCTAAGAAACGCAGCTAAAATGACAGAACATGAGGGAAAACTGGAATTGGAATTATAAAAATATGAGAAACGACCAATTTATCATTGTGTCAGTTTGAAAAAATAACTATATTGGATCTGAAAATAACATAAATTAATAAGTTTGGAATACAGAATAACTTCATTTTTTGAGTATTGCACAAAGGCAAATTAGTTATTTTCCCAATCATAATTTCAGTTGAAGTTTTCCTCTTTTCCTGCTATTTGGAAGTGATAACCTTTTTTTTTTTTTGGGAATTTCCTATTTTTATGATTCTTTTTTAGTCATTTTTCCTATAAAACATGCGTTAAAACAAAAATAAAGAAGTGTTCCTATCCGTGATTGTAGACCATTGAGCTCGCGTCGTAGCAATAAATAAATAAGGAAGAAATCATCAAGTCCCTCTCATAAGGGTTTAAAAAAATTTGGATTAGCTTTTTAAAAACAATTTTACCATGTATGAAATATGTAAAAAAAAAAATTGTCCTAATTTACATAAAAATACTCTTTTTAAGTAATTTTGGGAGTAAGCAAACAGCAACATTTCTATTTAAACAGGTCATGGAAAAGAAAGTCTAAATATTTTTAAATATTATTTAATGTTTTAAATCGTTTTGTAAAACACGTGGTCTAAAATATAAATTTTTGAGAAAATTAAGCTTTTAGTTCTTCATGTTTAAACTAAGTTTTTAGTTAAAAAAAACTTTAAACTTTCTTATAATTCAGTCCCGACTTAATTCATGAACTTTTGACTGGCCTATGACTTCCTCATCTTTTAATTTTTTTTATATTACTATCTTTATTGTTTATAACTCATCTTATCTCCCATGCTTGTCGGCAAAATCCTCATTAGCATCTTTTTCTTGAGCTCATATTGACACCAAGCATTTTAGTCAGAGCAGTCAGTAAAATTTTGCTCTTTTGGTGAAGGAAAAAATAAATAAAAAAATTGATATTCAACATCGTCCACGAAATTCCTCATCTATTAAGAAAAAAATTGACGGACACAAAAAATATTTAAGAAAGCCATTTTATTATTTACTCTGAAACCATTTCTTTTTGTTTTTAAATAAAAAATATTTTGGCCCAAGTGGCTCTTAATTCGAAATATTGTCTTGAATGTGACATTCCATAAGAAGCTTTTAACTCAAAACTGTGCGAAGAGTATATAACATAAGCATTTAAGTGGAATAATACTAACCCATAACATGTGATATCATTTAAGCAATTACATTTACACAACATCAAATCCGGGAAATATAAAAATTCTGCTTCAGCACAATTTCCACAATTTGTTCATTGATCAACAGAGTCAATAGTAATTAAAAGTCCTTTTAAAAGAGTTCAGACCACAACTTCGAAGATTCCGTAAGTGCGCAAGAAATAGAATTTGGACTTGACCAGCAGCAGCAGCAACATCTTTTCCTGAACAAGTAACATAGCAGCGGCACGCACAAACACATGATGAGGACTGCAAGAGAGAGTTTAAAAAAGAATAGTGGGGAATATAAGCCGCGTGAAACAATCCATCAAGAGAAGAATGGAGTTAAAGGTCATAACCTGATTTTGTTGAAACGGATGATCAGAAAGCCAATTGTTTATTCACCGGGCCAACAAACATTTCGTATGTGAGCAAGTCCTGGCAAATCCACACCCTTTAATTTCGATCCGTATCTTTGCTTTAAAGCAAAGCAACCACAGACATGAAAATGTTGCAACGACGTGAAACTCTTTATTGAGTATGGAAGTGATGCCAAAGAAGTGCAGCCAGAGAGGTAAAGAGACTGCAATGATGTGAGATTTCCGATGGACTCCGGAAGTGATGCCAAGGAAGTACAGCCAGAGAGGCGAAGAGACTGCAATGATGTGAGATTTTCGATGGACTCCGGAAGTGATGCCAAAGAAGTGCAGCCAGAGAGGCGAAGGGATTGCAATGATGTGAGATTTCTGATGGACTCCGGAAGTGATGCCAAAGAGGTGCAGCGAGAGAGGCGAAGGGACTGCAATGATGTGAGATTTCCGATGGACTCTGAAAGTGATGCCAAAGAAGTGCAGTGAGAGAGGTCAAGAGACTGCCATGATGTGAGATTTCCGATGGACTCCGGAAGTGATGCTAAAGAAGTGCAGTCAGAGAGGCGAAGAGACTGCAATGATGTGAGATTTCTGATGGACTCCGGAAGTGATGCCAAAGAAGTGCAGTCAAAGAGGTTAAGAGACTGTAGTGATGTGAGATTTCTGATGGACTCCGGAAGTCATGCCAAAGAAGTGCAGTCAGAGAGGTCAAGAGACTGCAATGATGTGAGATTTCCGATGGACTCCGGAAGTGATGCCAAAGAAGTGCAGGCAGAGAGGTCAAGAGACTGCAATGATGTGAGATTTCCGATGGACTCCGGAAGTGATGCCAAAGAAGTGTAGCCAGAGAGGCGAAGACTGCAATGATGTGAGATTTCTGATAGACTCCGGAAGTGATGCCAAAGAAGTGCAGCCAGAGAGCCCAAGAGTCTGCAATGCTGTGAGACTTCCGATGGACTCCGGAAGTGATGCCAAAGAAGTGCAGCCAGAGAGGTCAAGAGACTGTAATGATGTGAGATTTCCGATGGACTCCGGAAGTGATGCCAAAGAAGTGCAGTCAGAGAGGTCAAGAGACTGCAACGATGTGAGATTTCCGATGGACTCCGGAAGTGATGCCAAAGAAGTGCAGTCAGAGACGTCAAGAGACTTAAATGATGTGAGATTTCCGATGAACTCCGGAAGTGATGCCAAAGAAGTGTAGTCAGAGAGGCGAAGAGACTGCAATGATGTGAGATTTCCGATGGACTCCGGAAGTGATGCCAAAGAAGTGCAGCCAGAGAGGCGAAGAGACTGCAATGATGTGAGATTTCCTATGGACTCCGGAAGTGATGCCAAAGAAGTGCAGCTAGAGAGGTCAAGCGACTGCAATGATGTGAGATTTCCGATGGACTCCGGAAGTGATGCCAAAGAAGTGCAGCCAGAGAGGTAAAGAGACTGCAATGATGTGAGATTTCCGATGGACTCCGGAAGTGATGCCAAAGAAGTGGAGCCAGAGAGGCGAAGAGACTGCAATGATGTGAGATTTTCGATGGACTCCGGAAGTGATGCCAAAGAAGTGCAGTCAGAGACGTCAAGAGACTTAAATGATGTGAGATTTCCGATGGACTCCGAAAGTGATGCCAAAGAAGTGCAGCCAGAGAGGTCAAGACTCTGCAATGCTGTGAGATTTCCGATGGACTCTGGAAGTGATGCCAAAGAAGTGCAGCGAGAGAGGTCAAGAGTCTGCAATGATGTGAGATTTCCGATGGACTCCGGAAGTGATGCCAAAGAGGTGCAGCTAGAGAGGTCAAGAGACTGAAATGATGTGAGATTTTCCATGGACTCTAGAAGTGATGCCAAAGAAGTGCAGTCAGAGAGATCAAGAGACTGCCATGATGTGAGATTTCCGATGGACTCCGGAAGTGATGCCAAAGAAGTACAGCCAGAGAGGCGAAGAGACTGCAATGATTTTAGATTTCCAATCGACTTCGGAAGTGATGCCAAAGAAGTGCAGCCAGAGGGGCCAAGAGTCTGTAATGCTGTGAGATTTCCGATGGACTCCGGAAGTGATGCCAAAGAAGTGCAGTCAAAGAGGTAAAGAAACTGCAATGATTTTAGATTTCCGATGGACTCCGGAAGTGATGCCAAAGTGGTGCAGCCAGAGAGGTCAAGAGACTGCAATGATGTGAGATTTCCGATGGACTCCGGAAGTGATGCGAAAGAAGTGCAGTCAGAGAGGTTAAGAGACTGCAATGATGTGAGATTTCCGATGGACTCCGGAAGTGATGCCAAAGAAGTACAGCGAGAAAGGTCAAGAGACTGCCATGATGTGAGATTTCCGATGGACTCCGGAAGTGATGCCAAGGAAGTGCAGCCAGAGAGGCGAAGAGACTGCAATGATGTGAGATTTTCGATGGACTCCGGAAGTGATGCCAAAGAAGTGCAGCTAGAGAGGCGAAGGGACTGCAATGATGTAAGATTTCTGATAGACTCCGGAAGTGATGCCAAAGAAGTGCAGCGAGAGAGGCGAAGGGACTGCAATGATGTGAGATTTCCGATGGACTCTGGAAGTGATGCCAAAGAAGTGCAGTGAGAGAGGTCAAGAGACTGCCATGATGTGAGATTTCCGATGGACTCCGGAAGTGATGCTAAAGAAGTGCAGTCAGAGAGGCGAAGAGACTGCAATGATGTGAGATTTCCGATGGACTCCGGAAGTGATGCCAAAGAAGTGCAGTCAAAGAGGTTAAGAGACTGTAGTGATGTGAGATTTCTGATGGACTCCAAAAGTGATGCCAAAGAAGTGCAGCCAGAGAGGCGAAGAGACTGCAATGATGTGAGATTTCCGATGGACTCCGGAAGTGATGCCAAGAAGTGCAGTTAGAGAGGTCAAGAGACTGCAATGATGTGAGATTTCCGATGGACTCCGGAAGTGATGCCAAAGAAGTGCAGGCAGAGAGGTCAAGAGACTGCAATGATGTGAGATTTTTGATGGACTCCGGAAGTGATGCCAAAGAAGTGTAGCCAGAGAGGTGAAGAGACTGCAATGATGTGAGATTTCTGATAGACTCCGGAAGTGATGCCAAAGAAGTGCAGCCAGAGAGGCCAAGAGTCTGCAATGCTGTGAGACTTCCGATGGACTCCGGAAGTGATGCCAAAGAAGTGCAGCCAAAGAGGTCAAGAGACTGTAAGGATGTGAGATTTCCGATGGACTCCGGAAGTGATGCCAAGGAAGTGCAGTCAGAGAGGTCAAGAGACTGCAACGATGTGAGATTTCCGATGGACTCCGGAAGTGATGCCAAAGAAGTGCAGTCAGAGACGTCAAGAGACTTAAATGATGTGAGATTTCCGATGGACTCCGGAAGTGATGCCAAAGAAATGCAGTCAGAGAGGCGAAGAGACTGCAATGATGTGAGATTTCCGATGGACTCCGGAAGTGATGCCAAAGAAGTGCAGTCAAAGAGGTTTAAGAGACTGTAGTGATGTGAGATTTCTGATGGACTCCGGAAGTGATGCCAATGATGTGCAGTTAGAGAGGTCAAGAGAGTGCAATGAAGTGAGATTTCCGATCGACTCCGGAAGTGATGCCAAAGAAGTGCAGCCAGAGAGGCCAAGAGTCTGCAATGCTGTGAGACTTTCGATGGACTCCGAAAGTGATGCTAAAGAAGTGCAGCGAAAGAGGTCAAGAGACTGCAATGATGTGAGATTTTCGATGGACTCCGGAAGTGATGCCAAAGAAGTGCAGTTAGAGAGGTCAAGAGATTGCAATGATGTGAGATTTCCGATGGACTTCGGAAGTGATGCCAAAGAAGTGCAGTCAGAGACGTCAAGAGACTTAAATGATGTGAGATTTCCGATGGACTCCGGAAGTGATGCCAAAGAAGTGCAGCGAGAGAGGTCAAGAGACTGCCATGATGTGAGATTTCCGATGGACTCCGGAAGTGATGCCAAAGAAGTGCAGCCAGAGAGGCGAAGAGACTGCAATGATGTGAGATTTCCGATGGACTCCGGAAGTGATGCCAAAGAAGTGCAGTCAGAGAGGTCAAGAGACTGTAATGATGTTAGATTTCCGATAGACTCCGGAAGTGATGCCAAAGATAAACAACTACTAAGTTTTAGGGTCAACAAGTTATACAACTTGGCGATTCCTCGTGGGAGCTTCTTGAGTTTATGATTCCCACTTAAATCAAGATATCTTAAATGCTTCAGGTCTCTGATACTCTCTAGAATTTTCAACTCTTGATTTACAAGAACCAGTACACGTAAGTGTTTTGGAAGTGATGTTGTAGGCCCACAAATTAGATTAAAAACTCTTGATGAAGGCTGACTCAAGATAAAATCCAACTGTCCTTGTAGGAACAAAATTGTTCTTATTTTTTTGGTGTTGGCATTACCAAGTGAAAACTTCCAGGCACCGTGAAAATGACTTGACACATGACGAATCCCATCACCAAATTTCTCTTCTTCTGTTTTTTCACTTGTGACAATGTAACACTCATTTTTAGCGACTGATTGTGCTAGATCATGTATGAGGTCATGCATCTTGCATGACCGTATATCACCAGAATCGTTTTCCGTCACATCTTGAAACAAGCACCTCGACAACAACTGCTTGAAATACTTATCACCAACATCTTCCAAGCGCTCCAAGCGCCTAGTTTTATCCAAAGGTTGAATGAGCCCCTCAGCTATCCATAGCTGAATTAGTGTTTCTCTCTCAATCTCGTAATCTTTTGGGAACAAAGAGCAAAATGCAAAACAATCTTTCAAATAGAAGGGAAGATGATCATAACTAAGTTTAAGGATAGAAAAAATATTACTATTCTCATAATCTATATTTGCAAGTTCACTGTCCCTAAAAGATGACCACTCACTCACTTCTTTGTTAAACAATAAGCTACCAATGGTTCTTATTGCAAGCGGAACTCCATGACATTTTCTGACGATATCCTTTCCAATCCCGACCAAGTTGTGATCAGCAGGTTCTTTCCCGTCCCGAAAAGCCACTCTACAAAATAACTCCCAAGAGTTATCTTCATCCAAATCCTTTAAGGAAAGAGGTGGATTTGTGCCCATTGTATCCGCCACTTCCGTACTCCGTGTAGTGACAATGACCATACTTCCTTTTCTTCCATCTTTGAACAAGTTTCCTAATTTAAGCCATTCCCCGCGATCCTTAATATTCCAAACATCATCTAACACGAGTAGAAATCGTTTCTCCTTAATTTTGTGTCTTAATAGTTCGAGGGCACCATCAGATGTTTCCTTCTTAATGATCTTTTGAGCTAACGTGTTATTGGAAAGTTGATGGGATTCATCAGACACACTAACCCACATCATAGTTTCAAAATGATTTTTATCAGCCACATCATTATACACTTGTTGAGCAAGTGTCGTCTTCCCCAATCCTCCGATCCCAACTATAGGAATCACTGAGACATAATTTTTAACATCAGAGCTTAAAAGGGTACTAACAAGATGCATTCTTTCCTCATCTCTCCCGACAACATCTTGTTCGCTCACATCTGGGCCGGTTCGTCTCCATTCACAAGACTCATTCGAAGTGCTCGAAGAGCTCTCATGCAATTGAAGTGGATTCTTCTCATCAAAAATTTCGTCTATTTTCTTCCTAATTGCCCTAATTTTTCGACCCATTTTATGAGCAGAAACAATTCGGTTTGATTTGGAGAAGAATATGCGTACCTCCTTCGCCATTTTATCTTTGGTCATCACTTCCCTTGCTAGCTTCTCAGCAGCGTAGGCATCCAACAAGTCTTCGGCATCAAGCAACATATCTCTCAGCTTTTGTAGCCAATCATTGATCGCTTCACTTTTCGTGGCCTTTCTCTCAGCGTCACGAAGCACGGCTTTAATTCCAGTGACTTTCCTCTTCATAGTCTCCAAATCATCTTGGAAGTTGCAAAGGAGGTCAAGCTCTTTAGCAGCTAAAGAACGCAGTAGCCCAATGACATTCTCAGCAAGGGCTTCCATTGATGATCGATGGGAAACTCAAATAGGGTGTGAATGATGAGGAGAATAATTGTAATAAACACACCTCTAACTGAATAAAATTTGTGTAATAATCAGAGAAATAACAAGAAACTACAATGCTTACATCATAATATGGAGAGTTTCAGCAACTACACCTCAAAAATTAGAATAAGAGAAGAAATTGTCTCATATAGAGGGTGAATACGGACAGTGAGGAAGAAGGCCGCGTACAGAGAGAAGCGGTTCGATAACATGTTAGATATCTTAACCAGTCGCCGGCTTTTTGCTTTTTGGCAGGAGCTTCTTGTCCCCCCCCCCCTCCTCCCAAAAAAGAAACCGAGGCTTGTTTTTGTATCTCAAAAAAAAAAAAAAAAAAGAGCTTAGATAACCTCCCCACATTTTTATAGTCCATTTCCTTCCACTTGTTTAATCCACACACTTCAGCAAATTGAAAAATTTTAATCCAAAATATAAGAGGTTGACAAGATAATTAATTATAATCGTAGATGAGTAAATAAGACGCGTAAATTTTGAAACGGAGGAAGTATGTCAGTAGTCATTAAGGTAGAAGGATCAGTAAAACAAATTCTAACAATCACAGTGTTCATCCTAAATGACCTTCACTTCATTCTTTAAGATAATTTAATAATAAGAAAACATCAACTCCAATGTTTTGTGCAATAGCTTCTTTTTTTTTTTTTAAGTAAAAGGCAAAATGATATTAAGGAAATAACAACAATTACAAAGTTTCAATAGTATATATGTATGTATAGCATTACCAGGCCTTTGAAGTGCCGGCATCAATTTAATAACCGCTTTAATGAGAATAAAATTACAAAAAATTATTAATTTAATGTATTTTTTTATATGTGAATATTTATTGCAAGTGACAACGATAATGAGTATCGGAATGCTACGTAGGCAAACAATATTGGAAAAAAATGTCAGGGTAGAGTGAAAAGTGGCACGGGGAGAAATGGACCTAGTCTTTGATCTTATCCTTTGGCGTCAATGTGAAGCAGACAATACATTGAATTCAGCACCCTTTTTTTTTTCGGCCTGACATTCAATTTATTACTCTACTAGCGTCCATCAGTCATTTCGTGATAAAGGCCGGACAATAATGAGTGCAGCTGATGGACGCAGGTGGGGCTGAAACGGCTGGACAGCACTACCAGTAATAAAGATGCATACCGATAACAGAATTTCAAACCACGTGCGTGCTAACTCAGCTTTGGATTCTCTTGAAAAACAGAAGAAATGTTAAATAAAAATTTTGAAAGTAAAAAATTATAAATAAAAACTCATAACAATATTAGTATTAATTTTGATAATAATTTAATAATTTTTTTTTGAATTGGTCTCTGCACCCAATTCTTTAATTTTTAGGATTTTTTTGTGATTTTTTTAAAAAATCAATGTAAAATATAACAAAAAAGACTAATTTGTAATTTTAAATTTTAAAAATATTTTTTTAGATTCTCTCGTTTAAAAAATGATCATTAATAAATAATTTATATTTAAGATAAAAAAACTTATTTATATGTAACTTAAGATAAAAATTTAATGTATTTTTTTATTACAAGTGACAATTATAATAAGTTATCGCAATGGTAAGTAGGCAAGCAATATTGGAAAAAAGGAATGCCAAGGTAGAGTGAAAAGTGGCACGGGGTGAAATGGACCCTAGTCTTTATTCTTATCTTTTGGCGTCAATGTGAAGCAGATGGAATTGGCTGGACAACAGTGAGTATAGCAGAGGGAAACAGGTGCATGCATATGCTTGTGAGGCTGAAAGGGTTGGACCGCACTACCGGTAATAAAGTTGCATACCGATAGCAGAATTTCAAAATACTTGCGTGCTAACACAGCTTTGGATTCTCTTGGGAAAAAAGAAAAAGAAAAAATGGTAAATAAAAAATTTAAAAATAAAAAAATTATAAATAAAAACTCATTACAATATTAATATTAATTTTGATAACAATTTAATAACTTTTTTTTGAATCGGTCTCTGTACGTAATTTTTTTAATTTTTAGGATTTTTTGGTGTTTTTTTTTAAAAAATCAATGGTTCAAATTTTATTATAAAATTTAACTTTAGAACTCCATTTTATAAATTTTAATTTGAATTTATTTTAATATTTAATGCGTTTGTCTTTTTAATTTCGTTTTTAATTAATTATTTTAGTATTTTTTTGGCCAATAACTGTATGTTGCATTAATAAGAAAAGGAGACTGACTTATCTATGAGAGGGAGAGAGATGGCTTGATAAATATTTTAATTATTTGTTTTCTCTTTTTAGTCAATATTCTTTCTTATTATATTTCTCTCATATATAATTCGTCAAAGTTTTCTCTCTTTTTCTTTGCATTTACAAACAATTCTCGCATCTCTATCTTTTATTTTTTTTCTATTTTTAATGAGAATTAAATAATAATACAATGAAAAAAGGATCATTAAATACTTTACAAATGAGTTGTGTTTGGCATCAATTTTTTTTAGACTTGTATAAGAATCAGAATAGTATATTGCAGTTTTTGCTTAATTAATTCCATGGTTTAATTTTTTTTAATATAATGAAATCCTAATTCTTTGGCTAATTATATTAGTGTGCTTTAATTAACTTATCAACAATCTCTGATATAATAGACCCATGATGCAAGTTGTTATCCCATATTGCAAGGAGGAGAAATAATCTTAAACGTATGAAAGAAAGAGGAGAGAAGTTTTCAATCAATATCACATTCTTTAGTAAAGATAAAATAAGTAAATTTTATTAATTTAACATATACTTAATGATTTAACTAACATTTTTTTAATTTGTGCAAATTGATTACCAAACGTCTTATATTTTGAAATTAAGAAAATATATCAGTAGTCACTACTGATTAAGAATCACATTGTTCATCCACACAGACTCCAATGCTGTGTGCAAAGGCATAAACTGAGCGCGGAAAACAGGTGCCCGCATGTGCTTGTGGGGGTGAAGGGGTTCGAGGGTAATAAAGATGCACGTAGCAGAACTTCAAGCTACAGAAGTAAAAGCCCAGCTTTGTAGCTGGTAAAAAAAAAAACCCAGCTTTGTACTCTCTCCATTTTTTTCTCTTCATAATCTCATAATAAAAAAATCGATTGGTCAAATTTTATTTTATAAAATTATTATTCAAAACATAAGTATATAAATTAAACTGTTAAAATTTCACATGCACAATTTATAACTGCGGTACAGAATAAATAGAAAATTTTAATTTATAAAAATATTATAAGAACAGTTCTATAAAATATTAAACCTGAGACATCTATTTTTTTGACTTAAAGGTAGAAATGAAATTTTGAGAAGAAAAGGAGGAAAAAAGAGAGAGGAGAAAATGCTTCAACTAACTCAACAATACTGAAATTTTGATCCTTAATATTACCTTTGATTCTTAATATAAGATCTTGTTAACTAATTTGAAAAAAAACTAAAAAAGTTAAAACAAACGAATTTTAACAAACAAATTTTATCTTAAATATAAATTATTTATTAATGATCATTTTTAACAAACGAATTTTTAAAAAATATTTTTTTAAAATTTAAAATTACAAATCAGTATTATTTATTACATTTTAATAATAATTAATAACATTTGAAAAGTAAATTAATTACTTGTATTAAAGTAGCTTTTATGCTAAATAATAATATAACTCACTTGTACATTTAATCATTGCTTCTTAATTTTATTTTTATTTAATTTTCATTGAAGAGAGAAACATAAAATTGATTTCTAAATAAAAAGAAATAGAGTTCTTAATATGTTACAAGTGACTAGAGTAGAAGTATTGTCGAGTCAGTGAAAACAGATCTTGCCCTTTTTCTGTTTCATTTTTCACTCAAAATCTCATTTTTACATTTAGATCAAAAAATAGATGGCGTAAATTTAACATTTTATAAAATTATTTTTATAATATTATTTTTATAAATTATTTTTTTATTTGATCGGTACTGCAGTTACGAACTCGCATGTCAACTGTTCAGTTTCCATTTAAATAAAATATATTGACTACTCCTGTATTTTTTCTAAATTACAAAAACTTTTCTTTTATTTTGAAAATATATGTAAACCCCTCATAAAATTAAAATGTATGCTACACAAATCTTCTTTATATATTTCAGATTTAATTTCTATCTATCTAATTATCAATTGACCATTAAGTTTTAACTTGCAATTTTTTTATTTTTAAGATTTTTGTTTTTTCCCCAAGGGAATCCAAAGCTGAGTTAGCAGGCAAGTGGTTTGAAATTCTGCCGTCGGTATGCATCTTTATTACTGGTAGTGCTGTCCAACCCTTTCAGCCCCACAAGCACATGCATGCACCTGTTTCCATCAGCTGCCACACTCATTATTGTCCAGCCAATTCATTCAGATTTATCACGAAATTATTGATGGAGGCTGGTAGTGTACTCAATTGAATGTCACACCAAAGGGGGAAAAGAAAAAGAGTACTAAATTGAATGTATTGTCTCCTTCACATTGACGCCAAAGGATGAGACTAGAGACCAGGGTCCATTTCACCCCATGCCACTTTTCACTCTACCCTGGCATTTTTTTCCAATATTGCGTGCCTGCTTACTATTCCGATAACTTATTATAATTGTCACTTGTAATAAAAAATACATTAAATTAATAACTTATTATTATCAATTTTAAACTTGTCATTTCTTATTGTTAACTTGTTAGGATCCCATAACAATCTTATTTACAACTACTTAATAACTTGTTATTCACTATATTAAACTTGTTATTCACCATATTAAACTTGTTATTTCCTATTACTAACTTCTCAATTTTATAATTGTTGTTTTATATTATCAACTTGTCAATCCCTTTACTCAACTTCTCACTCTTAACTTCACAGTTGTAATTTCAACATACTTTATATTTTTCTTACTGACCTTGTTAAATACTACCTCCGGTCCTATTTATAAGAACCAGTTGACTAATTTGAAGAGATTAAGGAA